AAGATGCCAAGTGAGATTTTGGCGAAACGTCTGCAGGATTCCAGTCGGATGCAAGATTTGCAGGATTCCAGTCGGATGCAGGATTCCAGTCGGAGTTCAACGAGCGAACGGATGATATCCCGGAATATAGTGTCATCACATTTTTCCATCCGTGAATCAATACGTGAGAATATCATACACCTTTACGGGAAGGAGATCTTTACAGCCCCAGTGTTCGAAGTGTTTTCGGAGCGCGAGCATTGAAGATGCCAAGTGAGATTTTGGCGAAACGTCTGCAGGATTCCAGTCGGATGCAAGATTTGCAGGATTCCAGTCGGATGCAGGATTCCAGTCGGAGTTCAACGAGCGAACGGATGATATCCCGGAATATAGTGTCATCACATTTTTCCATCCGTGAATCAATACGTGAGAATATCATACACCTTTACGGGAAGGAGATCTTTACAGCCCCAGTGTTCGAAGTGTTTTCGGAGCGCGAGCATTGAAGATGCCAAGTGAGATTTTGGCGAAACGTCTGCAGGATTCCAGTCGGATGCAAGATTTGCAGGATTCCAGTCGGATGCAGGATTCCAGTCGGAGTTCAACGAGCGAACGGATGATATCCCGGAATATAGTGTCATCACATTTTTCCATCCGTGAATCAATACGTGAGAATATCATACACCTTTACGGGAAGGAGATCTTTACAGCCCCAGTGTTCGAAGTGTTTTCGGAGCGCGAGCATTGAAGATGGCAAGTGAGATTTTGGCGAAACGTCTGCAGGATTCCAGTCGGATGCAAGATTTGCAGGATTCCAGTCGGATGCAGGATTCCAGTCGGAGTTCAACGAGCGAACGGATGATATCCCGGAATATAGTGTCATCACATTTTTCCATCCGTGAATCAATACGTGAGAATATCATACACCTTTACGGGAAGGAGATCTTTACAGCCCCAGTGTTCGAAGTGTTTTCGGAGCGCGAGCATTGAAGATGCCAAGTGAGATTTTGGCGAAACGTCTGCAGGATTCCAGTCGGATGCAAGATTTGCAGGATTCCAGTCGGATGCAGGATTCCAGTCGGAGTTCAACGAGCGAACGGATGATATCCCGGAATATAGTGTCATCACATTTTTCCATCCGTGAATCAATACGTGAGAATATCATACACCTTTACGGGAAGGAGATCTTTACAGCCCCAGTGTTCGAAGTGTTTTCGGAGCGCGAGCATTGAAGATGCCAAGTGAGATTTTGGCGAAACGTCTGCAGGATTCCAGTCGGATGCAAGATTTGCAGGATTCCAGTCGGATGCAGGATTCCAGTCGGAGTTCAACGAGCGAACGGATGATATCCCGGAATATAGTGTCATCACATTTTTCCATCCGTGAATCAATACGTGAGAATATCATACACCTTTACGGGAAGGAGATCTTTACAGCCCCAGTGTTCGAAGTGTTTTCGGAGCGCGAGCATTGAAGATGCCAAGTGAGATTTTGGCGAAACGTCTGCAGGATTCCAGTCGGATGCAAGATTTGCAGGATTCCAGTCGGATGCAGGATTCCAGTCGGAGTTCAACGAGCGAACGGATGATATCCCGGAATATAGTGTCATCACATTTTTCCATCCGTGAATCAATACGTGAGAATATCATACACCTTTACGGGAAGGAGATCTTTACAGCCCCAGTGTTCCGAAGTGTTTTCGGAGCGCGAGCATTGAAGATGCCAAGTGAGATTTTGGCGAAACGTCTGCAGGATTCCAGTCGGATGCAAGATTTGCAGGATTCCAGTCGGATGCAGGATTCCAGTCGGAGTTCAACGAGCGAACGGATGATATCCCGGAATATAGTGTCATCACATTTTTCCATCCGTGAATCAATACGTGAGAATATCATACACCTTTACGGGAAGGAGATCTTTACAGCCCCAGTGTTCGAAGTGTTTTCGGAGCGCGAGCATTGAAGATGCCAAGTGAGATTTTGGCGAAACGTCTGCAGGATTCCAGTCGGATGCAAGATTTGCAGGATTCCAGTCGGATGCAGGATTCCAGTCGGAGTTCAACGAGCGAACGGATGATATCCCGGAATATAGTGTCATCACATTTTTCCATCCGTGAATCAATACGTGAGAATATCATACACCTTTACGGGAAGGAGATCTTTACAGCCCCAGTGTTCGAAGTGTTTTCGGAGCGCGAGCATTGAAGATGCCAAGTGAGATTTTGGCGAAACGTCTGCAGGATTCCAGTCGGATGCAAGATTTGCAGGATTCCAGTCGGATGCAGGATTCCAGTCGGAGTTCAACGAGCGAACGGATGATATCCCGGAATATAGTGTCATCACATTTTTCCATCCGTGAATCAATACGTGAGAATATATATATATATATATATATATATATATATATATATATATATATATATATATATATATATATATATATATATATATATATATATATATATATATATATATATATATATATATATATAACACTGTTGTTCGAAGTGTTTTCGGAGCGCGAGCATTGAAGATGCCAAGTGAGATTTTGGCGAAACGTCTGCAGGATTCCAGTCGGAGTTCAACAAGCGAACGGATGATATCCCAGAATATAGTGTCATCACATTTTTCCATCCGTGAATCAATACGTGAAATATATATATATATATATATATATATATATATATATATATATATATATATATATATATATATATATATATATATATATATATATATATATATATATATATATATATATATATATATATATATATATATATATATATATATATATATATATATATATATATATATATATATATATATAACAAATTTTAGTTAATTGGGGTATCGGTCCAATTAACTAAAATTTGTTGTTCAACTAGCCGGTCACGACTACCGTTTTGTATATATATATATATATATATATATATATATATATATATATATATATATATATATATATATATATATTCTCACGTATTGATTCACGGCTGGAAAAATGTGATGACACTATACTCCGGGATATCATCCGTTCGCTCGTTGAACTCCGACTGGAATCCTGCAAATCCTGCATCCGACTGGAATCCTGCAGACGTTTCGCCAAAATCTCACTTGGCATCTTCAATGCTCGCGCTCCGAAAACACTTCGAGTGTTCGAAGTGTTTTCGGAGCGCGAGCATTGAAGATGCCAAGTGAGATTTTGGCGAAACGTCTGCAGGGTTCCAGTCGGATGCAGGATTTGCAGGATTCCAGTCGGATGCAGGATTCCAGTCGGAGTTCAACGAGCGAACGGATGATATCCCGGAGTATAGTGTCATCATATATATATATATATATATATATATATATATATATATATATATATATATATATATATATATATATATATATATATACATACATATATATATATATAATAATAATAATAATATATTATAATATTATATTTCTACTTCTATTAATTATATTAAGCATTTCTTATGCCTAATTTTTGTATAAAACCGAAAATTTTCAAAGAGTGCGAAAATATCACAAATGATTGAGAGCAAAATAGATATTAAATGTACGTGAAAAGTCTACACAGACGAATTAAGTATAATTCTTTTAGATAATTATATTCTTTACGTGTGAATCCAAAATGTAATACAGCACTAATTTCTTATATTCCAGATATAAACAAATATAAAATTACGAACTGCGCAACTTTGTAAAACCAATTTACACAGTATTTTACTCTATAGACAATATTAAAAATAGACAATATTAATATATTTAATTTTTCCAGAAAAAAACACTTAAAAACTAAGAAAAAAACCGCAATACAAGAATGAACTATTTAATTGAATTTCACTTTATTGTTTAATTAATTAAATTAATTTTTTAATTATTTATTTGCGACATTTGCCAGGCAAACTAAGATTTGCATAGTCAACTTACATTTGCACTAAAAGATGCGATCTGAAAACAATTACTGAGAGTTCAATAATATTTTGGTCTTTAAGAAACAGAATTTCTAAAATTAATGAAAAAAGGACACATTTTTTCATAAAATTAATAATTTACTAATTTATTTTTCTTCGTAAAATTTATAACGAAAATAAATAGATAGAGAGTTAAACACAGGACATTTTATACCTAAACATGGCCATAAATCCGAAAACGTTAGGTATAGACCATAAAAACCCTATATTGACTGATTGAATATAAAAAGGAGCATCTATTATTGTAATAATATACAGGTCGTGTAATTTTAATAAATATAAGTTCGGTATCCCACACATTTATCAATCGGCCTGTATATTTGAAAATTTAAACTATTTCTTCTTTTTCCCTCTTCTCTCTTCAATTTCTTTTTTTAAAACAAATAATAAGTGAGATATATTACTTTGGCGCTCTATTTGTACGCCCTGTTTCCTTATTTATAGTTCACATTGTTCTCAACCAATGTCAATCTCAAAAGTCCTCAAAATCATCACTCCACCCTACAAAATTCCGCAATCGTGTTTCACACGACGGCATTTGGTCAACAAAATATGTAAAAAAGGACTGTGGACTATAAGTTGTCAACATCTTATTTAAAAAAATAAATAAAAGTCTATCAGTCGACCATTTTATGTTGAAATGTATTTTTCCTTATAGAACTTCCAAATCGCAAATTATATAAACGATCTTTCCTCCAGTAATCTGTAAGTCCCCTTAGTTGGACAATCCTCATATGGAAAACATTATATCCATTATATCCATTTCCAAAATAATTGTTACGGCTTTGCCTCCCAAAAAAAAACTCAGTCATCGCACAGCATTAATAAAGTCATTCGTTTTATTAAGAAGTCATTGCTCGATATAACAGTTTTTTATTTGGTTTAATTAAATAATTATTTACCATAATTAAAAATCAAAATATTCAAATACATACATTTATTTGACTCATCAAGGAACTAGTTTATTGAAAAAAAATTTGTTGACGTAAATAAAAAGTTCCAAATAAATATTTATTTTTTCCCTTGATTTCAATTGCAGGTTAACTGAGATTGCATCGCTTCGCCGAAGTTTGAATCATCCCGTATCAATCGAGCCCACCCCAGCTTAGCCGATCACTACACAGATTATACCAGTTTCCTTCTAATTATCGCGACTTTTATAAAGTTCGGAAATCGGCAGCGTATCGTTTCATTTCCAAGTCCGATCCGCGTACGAACGGAGCTTTGGCGGACACTCGAAAGCTTTTCGTTATCGGGACGTATAGTCTGGACATAATTCGTTATTGACGCGCGTTGTGGGGAAAAAATGTAGTCGGGTCTAACTTGTTTTAAACGCGACTGTTATCACGAAAAAACCGCGATATGGAGGGACGTTTAAACGGCGCGATGGCATACGAAAATAGCGGTTTCCAATTGCAAGAATCGAACGTCAACCACGCGAGAAAAAGCTCGTCGTACAAAGGGGGGCTTCAAGACAAGAGGCGGCGGATATCGCTGGTGAACATCACCAAGGAGGTGTTCCCCAGGTTCGAGAACTACAGGAACTCGAAGAAGGCGGCCAAGAGGCCTTCGCTGGGCGAGCTTCACGGCGCAGAGGATTATATAAAGGTGAGTGTTTGGACATCCCACCAAATTCTGTTTATTGTTCCTTCCTTAGATGTAATTTGGTTAGTTTCTTAGACGAAAAAATAATCTTCAAGCCAATTAAAATACTGCTTATTAGGAGTAAATTGCTTGGCCTCAACTTTTTTAGTAAATACTTTATTTTTCTAATATATATATATATATATATATATATATATATATATATATATATATATATATATATATATATATATATATATATATATATATATATATATATATATATATATATATATATATATATATATATATATATATATATATATATATATATATATATATATATAACTTCTTCTTTCTTATACGCACGCAAAATCACCATTTTTTTAATTGTCTTCTAATATTTAAGCTAATATTTCAAAAGTGTAATTGATTTTTTTTTTAATATAAGATACAATACAAGAGAAACTGTTGCTCAAAAATTGAACTGATTTATCAAAATAAGTAAGAACTAAAAGTTCAGATTTTCACGAAATTATATATTTTGACATGACAATTGTTTCGACAACACCGTGTCTTTATCAAATGTCACAAGTACTTTATTTTCATAAATGCTGCTTATTTAATATAATAATAAATCTTGAAAGAATTGATGTGAAATAGTTTTTTTTTATAATTTTTCATAAACTGTTTCAAAAAATTTTTAATCGCATTAAAAAAAGTGAATTTTAAGATCAGTTATTTATTTATTATTTGCAATAAGCACTATTTTATCGTATTTTGCTCTTCGCGCTAAATCATCGATTCTTAAAAGTTCTTTCATTTAGAGCAAAGATTTTAAAAGTGTTATAATTGATTATGGACTTTCAAGTCATGCCAAGCTTAAAATCAAGATATTTTTTTGTGAAATGTAAGACCGACTGACTGTAAGACAAACTGTTCCTACATTTGTAAAAAAATTCGTAGGACTTTCTGAATCTAGCATTTGCTAAAATATGGATACAATTCACAATCAGAAAAAAATTACACTTGCAATTTTTTTCCAAAAAATAATCCACTGCGAAGTATCTTCTTTTATGAGAAAGAAACGCTTCATTCCTTATTTTCAATGGCGTTTATATAGTACCTGTCACATTTGTATTACATTATATATTACAATATGTATTATATTATATTATTATATTACATGATATGCATTATCAAAAAAAGGCAATATGGTCCTGCAAATTATTGAAAATTATTAAATAAAGCTATATATTTACAAAATATATCTCCCTTTCAAACAATAGTCTCCGAATCACAAAGTTGCGAAAATATCTACCGACCCACCTACATAAATTTTGAAGTTCTGGTTCGCCGCTTAATGTGTTTCGAAGGAATTGAAAATTTGGGTTAACCAACTCATTCCTAACCAAAATTAATTTGCTTGGTTTCCACTCTCTTACTAAGCAAGCAAAGTCCTTTTTTTATAAATATTATTCCTCCAATATACTATATCTAAAAAGAATTGATGTGATATAGTTTTTGTAATTTTCTGAGAAACGTCATTATTAAAAATTGCGTTTATTACATACATTATCTGTTCGATAGTAATAATAAATTATAATATTTTTAGAGGACGAATTTTAATATGGCACCTGCATCAAATACGAAGTTCAAAATTAAATTAAATGAAATACGAAGAGCAAACGAAATATTCGAAGTAACAAAATCATTGAATGAAAATGAGGAAAAAGCAAGCTATGTTTGCCAAAAGTTATCTTCCCTTTCACGACTTCCAATCTGCTCAACTTTAACACCAGATTCAGCACCGAGAAGGTTTTTTTTAATCACATCGAGAAAGAAATTCTTTAAACTTGTAAATACTTTATGGTATGTTTATATATATGAAATTCTGTCATCAATTAAAACCGTCACACAGTTGGGAAATATTATATCTACCCACTCGCCAAAGTTTTCAAAATTCTGTTTGGCCACTTCAAGTGTTTAAAAAGTATTAAAAGTTTTGGTTAAGAATCGCCATCCCTAACCAAAATTAACTTGCTGGGTCTCAACTCTATTGGTGACAAAGTAAAGTCTTTTATTTTTACTAATACTGCTTATTTAATATAATAAATGATCTGATACAGTTTTTTGTGGTTGTGCTTAAACTGTTTCGAACAAATTATGCAAAATACGAAAAGTTGTCAGGGTTAAGTGCTTCAACGAAGATTGAGTTTAAAAACAGTGTTTATTTGCAATAAACCCCTTTTTAATGACATTTTATTCGGCAAGCAAAATCATCTTTTTTTAAAAGTTTAAAAGTAATGCCGAGCTTTTCATTTTTTTTAGTTAGATAGCAAAGTTTTCAAATTCTGTTACACCATTTAAAGTTTTTAGAAGGTATCAAAAATTTATCCATATTTTTAGTTTTTTGGAATCTAGCATTTTATTTTCCCATATTAAAACTCGGACCCCTAGTATACGTATACATTTTAAATAACTTCGAGAACATCAGTAGCGACTTAAACTTGAACTATATACATATATCATCATATATAGTACGTCAACAATAGATATCAATAAAAACTTGTCCAGGTATTATGGTAGTCTAACAAGGTGTGCACACAAACTCAGCCTTGTAAAACGGGGTTATACACAAAAATCTTAACGTTTTAGTTATCACAAGGTCGTCGTTTTATACTTTTCTGGAGTAAAATTTATAGCCCTTTTAGGGGATTGGGTTTCGTGATACTAGTCGAAAATGTCCCTTTAGACAAGCCGGGACCTCCGTCCCTGATGTCTGACAATTACCAGAATCGATTAATTAGCGTCTTGAGCAGTAAACAATTTTTGCCAGCCCACTAATGGACTGCAAATTAGTTAACAACAATTCGCTGAAAAATAAGTGAATGTCATTTTATTGTGCCAAAAATTAACAACTATATGAAAATTTTATGGTTTCAAATCGAAGAAAGGAGTTCTATTCCTGAAATGTGTTTAATAATATAATAATAATAGAGTTTAGGTCTCCAATCTAAAACCTGTTGATTCTACCAACAAACGGCAGTACATTTACCTCAAAAACTTTGTGTGGCCTTGAAAACGAATGCCTCCCAAATCATAGTCTAGCCACTTTCAAATTTTCTGTGTGCTCTGACAGAGTATCAAAATGAAATAGAAAATACAAAAAATTAGGTTTATACAAACTATTTACCGTTATCCAAAAATAAGAGCAAAGATTCGTGACGATTAAATAATACCGAGAAGTGTAGAATAGATAAATATAATTTTACGTAAGATTTACTACAATAGCGCACAGAATGTCGGAAAGCTTTAATCACGATTGATTGATTGAGCCTAAATGTCCATTCAAAATTTCCCTGGTTTCTTCACTTGAGGATTGGGAGGTTAAAAGTTTCAAAGTTAAATTCGATCGGACCTAAATTAATTAAATTATTATTATTATTATTATTATTATTAAAATAATTAGTAAATGAAAAATTTAGTTGAATTGAACATTATTTTTATTGGTACAAAAACAGTATATCTGGAGAGCAGTCCAGATGCAAGTGTAAAAAGTATATTTTTATACTCATATTACGTCCCAGATCCCCAAATTTCAGTTTTCTACAAAATATTTCTTATTTGCAACCTTTTCAGATTCTGTCTTGATCTTGTCTTGTCTTGATCTTCCATTAATCGCCTTATTTGAGAACCCACACGTAGGTATTTAAAACATGATCCATCTTTATCTAAAACTTTAACGTACTGCTTCGTCAGTCCTAATTTAATATGCAACGGCGGTAAGAGAATTTTTGGTGGGTCAATCAATAAGAAGAATAGTTTTCGATTTAAATGAACGCTTTTTGGCTAGTTCTTTTTCACCTAATGTTGCCGACTGTTTCTACTGTCCCACTGACACAAAAAAACACGGGTACAGAACAGCCTTAAGGCTTCTCTTGAGTCAACAAAAAGCCTCCAGTCCTCAGAATTGTAGTCTGTACCAGGATACATTTATTAGATTAGGAATATATGTGCAATAAACAAGTAAACCACTTTGTTCAAAATAGCCTATAAATTCCGTCTCGCACTTCCTGAAATTTGAGATTTTAAACTTCTTCTACCAGTACATTTTTATTTCAAAGTCTAGATGTTGAGATTCTGGAAAAATTGTTAGGTAAACCTAAGTCTCTCACTAGGTCATTAAGTTCAGATTGTGAAATTAACTGTAGTTACTGGGAAACTCCCTATCTATCACCAACATCATTAAAACTGATGGTATCTTCTTCTAAATTGACTGGATTCTCAGGTACTGGGGAATCTGGGCCATGTGGCACTGTCCTAATTGCAGATTTGTGCTTCAGATATCCTCGAACATTGCCCATCGTGATGATTTCCACTATTCCAATGTCTTAAATCTTCTTCACATACCTTAAAAAAATATTTCGCACCCACGCAAAAAAAGCAAAATGTCTTAGGGTAATAATTATTGACCAGTTTCAAATATCCCAACAGTTTCGAAATTTTTGGAAAAAAATATGCATTCGCAATTGTCTCATTACATCGAGTCTGATGGTTTGATAAATCCAGTTTCCGTTTACCACCTAAACTCTTTGTGTATAGTCACTAGCATAGTTGTGGACTTTGAGAGAGAGGCAGCAAAGCATTTTATCTTTCTGATATAAATCAAGCTGGTTTTGCAATAATAAAATTATAAGTTTAAGAACTAGAAAATTTAAATACAACAAAAGTGTGAAAAGTTCGCTTGACCTAAGCTTATATAACCCAATTAAAAATCAGGTCACAAATAAGCCATTTAAAACTTTTAAAACCAAAATAAAATCATTTTTTTAGAAACATTGTTTTTATTCTCTCGTCAAGTCATAAAAGATATTATCGGATTCTTGATAGTGGCCACTATTTGATTGTAGTCGATATCTTCGAACTTTTTTTTGTTCATTTTTGTGCCTGTTTGTTTTGATATGCTATGTATTACGGATTTATACCTATTTATTGTAGAGTTCATCTAATCGTATACATTTGCGAATACAGATCCGGAAAGTGAATACCCTGACTCATTCGTAAAAAGAATATCGGTCCAGTCTTTAATATACCTGTTGACATGTTCTCCTGGTTAAGGAGAGAACAGTAACAGGCATTCTGGCATTGAGCAGAATACTCTAATGCTTCTTTCTTAAACTAAAAGATATTCGATACTTCTTGTGACATTAACGGAAAATGGAATTTCCCTACAAAGACAACAGATCTTTATCGCACAATCTGTTGACGTTATAAATCAACAGAAACAATACCGATTTCAAAATACATAATGCTCAAGTTGAAAAAAAACACACTGCATTAAGTCAACAAGGGATCCTGGCTATTACATTCAAGTGCGTCGTTAGATTAGATATTTCAATTACTTGCCTCGGAGCTATCAATTACTTATTGCAAAACTGACTAAAATATAGACTTTACAAGTTAAAATCAGAAATTAAGAGTAATTTTTTTATATGTAACCAACCATTATGAGTACACAGTTCCTTAAAATGATGCAAAGTAATTTTTGTTGCTTAAAAACATTTTTTTCTATTATGAAATATATCGGTACTTCAAGAACAAGTTTATTTATAATGGGAACAGTTCGAATAAGTTTGATTGGAGGGTTACATCGGCACATGCTCGTCAAAAGTCAACTTAATATTAACGATTTCTCTATTCTTCATCCTCATTATTCAATTTGTTTTCTTTTCTTTTCCTTTGAATCTCTGGGTCCTGCTTTCACATGGTCATCATATTAATTACTTTGTGGTATGCAGTTTTTGATATTATATAACCAGGATAGCTTGTTGCTCTTCCTCTTTTTCTCTAAGCCGTTTCGGAGGTTGGTTCTAGCTATTCTTATTTTATTGGTGGTAATCCGAAAGAGTTTTGCTGGATCGCCTTCTCTGGCTGTTGATTTGGTCTTTAAGTATTTTTGTCTCTATTCATTATTGGTTGGTAACTCTTCGCTTTCAGTCTTCTTGTAGCTTTTTTAGTGAGTGTCTATGCCTCTACCCTATACAGGAGGACTGAGAAGGTATAAAAAAGCAACAGTGTGATTTTGATTGTATCATTTGTGGCCGTTCCCAAATAATTGTACCATATACCTCGTGTGCTACCTTGGTTGATAAAGACTTTTTTTCTTCACGAATCTCTACACTCTACTATCAGCAATTTTTTCTATAAAGTGATTTTCAATTCAAAATGCGAGCTCAAGATGGCCACTCTATCCATTAGTTGTTGTAAAGGTGCCCTGAAAACATAATGATATCGTTATATTCTTATATTGTGTATTGTTTATAGTAGATCCTTTTTCAATATCATCAAGTACTTCTCGAAATATGTATTCGGAGTAAACATTAAACAGAATTGGTGACTCACTCTTCTCTGTATTGTTTTCTGAAAATTCCACGCCTGTCATTTTTAACCAATGAAAACGTGTTGTTTTGACAGATCAGTATGGCAAGGGATAAATTTTAGTGAGATTTTTTCTCATGGGTACCCAACAACGAATTACACTGGACATTTTTTGACGTTTACAATGACAGAATATTTTTTTGACAGTCTGGTTTTATATGCAGTACTGGTAACATGTTATGGACAGAGTAAGACAGAGTCGACCAAAGCTTCTACATTTTGGTGGTACTTGAAGACAAAAATTGATGATGACAATCGACGAATAAATGAATGAATCAAAAATGAATATTTCCGGATACCATTTGAGCTCTAGCGATAATTCTTTTTCATGTCCGGTTTTATGATTGTGTTCTGGTGATGATGAGTTTATTGATTCAACGTATTCTTATTATCTCAAACAGATTTTTGTCTTTGACAAGTGGTAAATCTTGTTCTGACGTTATATTTCTTAAGAACACTTGATACTACGTGGTCACTGAATGTAAGGAAGGACCACACTGGTAAGTGTGAGGTTGCTTTGGGACTCATTTTCTTTGGAAAGTTGCGATGAAGTGTATTTTATGATGAAACGTTTAATATCTCCAATGCGGAAATTACTAGATAGAAGAGCAGGTGTAAGGTGTTTAATTCTGGTTTCCAAAGGAGACGAATTTTAGAGTCGTGAGGGGTGACAGAATATTTTACCGATTTTAATAGAGAAGAAGGGTTAATAACAGATGTAAGGTTGAATTACAAGTTGACTATAGAATCTAATTGTATGTGTAATTTTTTTCTGTTCATTAACACAATAGCTTTTCCTTTAATTGCTTTTGGAATTACGATGTCGCGATTAAAATCTAAATAGTTTACAGCTATGCCTTCAAACTTTAGCATTATTCAGAGCTTAACTAAAACACTTTCAGTTTCAGTTAAGCTTTATTATTATTATTATTATTATTATCGGAGGCGATAATTGCCTGGAAAAATACGCTGACACGAGATCGATCAAATGGGAGGCAATAAAGCTCGAATTAACATTCGTTGTTTTGTTTGATCTAAAATTTTCGTAGGAGCGTTAATTTAAATGCGTCGCTTAGCGATTTGAAAACAAGCAGGCTTTCATTAAAACTATGCCGGTTGTTTGTTTTAGGAAGCCAGCGGCACCGACTCGTTGGACCAATCCCCCAATCATGAAGGCGTCAAACTCGGCTGGATACAGGGCGTTCTCATCCCCTGCATGCTTAACATATTCGGCGTTATGTTATTTTTGCGGGTCTCCTGGGTAGTCGCCGAAGCAGGAACAGGTAAATTGCATAGCTTTTTTCGATGAAAATATATAAAAAAGTGTGTTTGGACGATTAAATTGAATATTATTTGTGATCCAAACAGTAAGGAACTTTACAATTTAATCATGACAAACTAATAACAAAACAACTATGACCCAGAGGGCGCTTTTAATAATAACCTATTTTACAAGAAGAAAACAAAAAAATATCATCATTATCAAAAATAAATATTTTTTCCTTTTTTTAACTAGCAATTTATTGTTCAATTTGGGAGCTTAATACAAAAAGTATCTTTAATCATATAGAGATAATTTATATTTAAACTCATTATTTCACTATTTGGTAAGTCTGATCAATAATGTTGGTATCCAAACATAGCCCCAGATTTTTTACTTTAATTTTAAACTCTAAATCAACCGCACTTAGATGATTTTTGACATAGCGTAGAAGATATATCGAATAGTGCATTTAGGTCCTCGTTAATCTTTAAAGGTGCATCAAATTCTACATCAATATATTTGCTTGAACAGAGTAAGGCGGTTGAGAATCGGCAGCCCAAATTATCTAAATCATAGAAACCTGTTGCGGTCTTCTGTCAAAGTAAGAGTTAATTAATGTCGCGGGCCTATATTGAAAACCAAAAAAAAAGTTTTGGCAGAGAATTTCAGTATCAGGAGTATCCAAAGCTCCGGTTTAATGTAGCAGAATAAGACCGGACACTTTATTTACATCAATCCGACAAATTCATCAGTTATCTCAGTAAGCGCAGTGACAGTTCCAAAAGATTTACTACGTAAGACTACGTATCTGTGATAATCTTGTTTATGAATTAGAAGTCACTCATTTGTGCATGTATAATTTTTTCTAGTAGAGTAGGCAAGATACTGGTTGCTCTTAACTGTGATGCATCAGTGAAGTTTGAAATATTGGTATTCAAATTCATCTAAGAATCAGGAAATATGGAATATCGAATACAGGTATTTATGATGTGTCTTAGGTGATTAAATTGATGCAATAATAACCATCAAAACTATCCAAAACTAGTCATTTGTAAGGATAGATTGTTAGACCCAGTAGCATTAGTTTTTTGTATATATTTAAAAGTTGAAGTTGTTGAAGTTTTAAAAATGTGTATATTTATATAATAAAATATTTCTTATAGGTGGGTAATACATTCGGAGTTCATTTCATTGTAGAACAGTGTGGCCTGCATTGATATTCTACAAATAAACATCTACCCTGTGGGCAAAAAACAGCATCAAAAAAACTCAATTTTTATAGTGGTGTTGTATTTAGCCTAAAAAGGGCTAACGTCACTTTTGACAAAAAATTCAAAATATTTCGAAAACGTTAAGATTTAAATATATAATATTTAAGAAGTCTAGAAAGTGCAGTTTATATTCAGGGTGTTCTATTTGCTGTTACTTGTCTACGAAAATACAATACAATACAAATATGGAACAAATTCATTTAAAAGCAGGTATCTTGCAGTAAATAGAAAATATATAGGGTGGGTCGCGTAGCATACCCTATACCTATTTCTTACTTTTTATGAGCACAAGAATAAAAAACATGCCCAAGAATATTTTTTATTAGTTGTTGTTTATTAAGTTCTTGTCAATATCCACACTAACCAAAACATTATTCAGGATATTCTCATTAATTTAAATTATTCCGCACCAAATTCTAAATTTTAAATCATCTAAATTTGGTTGTTTGCCCTTATTTACTTTTGATTTTAAATATGGTAAGAGGAAAAAATCCAGTGAAGCAATATATGGGGATCTTGCAGGCCATTCTATTGATCCCTTTCTACCCCATTAAAATATGTCAATCTAGCATATGATGCTGATTGCATTTGGAAAGTACGAGAGTAGGTAATTAGTTATTTTGAAGAAATTTGAAGACATAAGGTTCAATAATTTTGTTATTAAAAATCCCTGCCGAAATATTTATTTTTTGTGGATGTCGTCTATGATTTTCTTGATTCTTGATTTATGATTATTTGTACTGCAATATTTACAATTTTTTTATTTACTGCTCAATTTCAACAAAACGTATCTTCATCACTAAACATTATCTGACGATGAAAAAATTGCACATTTCCATCATAGTTTCGCAAAACTGAAATGGGTCTTTCTGAATATTTGTGTTAAAAAAATTACAAACTTCTTAAGTAGTCAATTCTGGAGCTTTGATTTAGATCCGCCATATTCATTTTCTTTCCTCACAGAAATGTAATTGTGACAATTTTAGAACTTAGAACTTGACTATTACCTGTTCATTTCAAAACTAACTTTCTGTTTTTCATCCTGCTCATAAAAAGTAAGAGATACGTATTTGACGAAAAATTCACAAGTTTATTAAAAAAAATGGTATTGCATTTTTAAAAATAGACCTTGGCATCGGCACCTATTTTTTGTTCCTCCTTGTACATTTTGCGGGGAGTATTATAGTATAATAGCTATTATATGAAAATTGTAAGTGAATAAAAACAACATTTTAATCCAAGCTTTTTTGATATTTTGGACAGGTGTCATGAAAGACGGGCCACCCTATACATAATCACACTTGCACAATATATTCCCTAGAGTTTTTTAAAATAAACATTACAATATAAAATTAACAGAATAAGATATATTTTTTGAAGAAATTTCCTTATCATTTAAAATTCTTTTTTCGCCTATATGTATTTCGTACTTGGAGAGAATATGGTCTAGGATATACAAATGAGCTATTTTTTTTAATGTGCATTGGCTATGATACCATATACATGGCTATGTTATAAATTACACTTGTTAACTAACCAAAACCAGATTTACCACTTGTTCAAAAATCTCTCCACATCTGCGGTCCGTCAAGGCTAAAATTCCATTTGATATGCCAGGAATTTACAGCATTCCATGCATATGCGGCAAAGAACACATTGAAGAGACCGGACGAAAAATATCAACTAGGCTCAAAGAACACGAAAGAGCCTTACGACTACGACAAATAAACTCATCAGCTGTTGCCGAACACATTCGTGAAACAGGGCATAAAATTTTATTGGATTAAACTAAAATTATTGCATGAATTCAGTTCTTCTACCGACAAAAAATCCGAGAGTCTATAGAAATCTATAAACAAACTAACTAACTACCTGTCACCAATTTGGGAATCAGTCATCCGAGACGGTGTTTATAGCTCATTAGCGCCAGTCTCAGTCAAGCTCTGAAGAAGCCAACAGGACGATTGGCGAAACGTCAGCAATTTCAACTCAGCAAAAACTGACGCAGGAGGAATCCAGAAGTCTTGTAAAAAGTATTACAGTAGTCTGTGGAAGTGTCTTTGAAAAATTAAGAAAAATTAAAGCAGTCGTTTTTTGTCTCTTGCTTGTATGTACGCCAATGTTGGATAGAATTAATTGTTGATGGTCCCCGTATTTAGAGCCGTATGGTAGCCAGTTATTGTGGGATTATTCTATATCCCAGGAGTTCAATTTCATAGACTTCAATTGACGGAATTGACAATGAATTCTATGTAAATAGAATGAAAAATGAAAAAGTTTTCATCTTATTTTAATGTTATAATGATTGGTCATAACGACGACCTGTTATAAAACTACATATAAAGGGTTTCATTTTTTAGCGTTACCTCGGTTAATATATTTTAGAATTAAAACGGTTATAAACATTTTTGGGACACCCTATACATTTATAAGTAAAAATTATTATTTCCTAAAATCTTTTACATAAAATACGTGGAGTAAGGGCATAATAATCCATTTGGAAATATTTCATTTAAACAAATTATAAAAGCTACATACAATGTGCCCCATAAAAGTTATTACTTTTCAGATACGTGTAAAGTGCCGCAGGTGACTTCTTTTAAATCTTATCACAAAACTCCCCCTACCTATCAAACGCTTAAACCGGATTCAACTTGAATCGATACATTTTGCCATCGGCAATTTGGAATGGCATTTTTCCCCACCTTGCACAAATATCTTGTATAACGTATCGCCATTATTATATTACGAATGCGATGAGCGGGAAATAAGCATTTTCAAAACCAAAACGAGATTGGAGAGGAAAATATTTTCATACTTTCGCGTTGACAATTAATTGTTTTCGAATTTTGAATTCCAACTGGCCATTTTTGCTAACGCTGCGTCGCGCGGCAAATTTTATCGACCAATTCATATTATTCGTGTTTTTTAGATTGAAGGTTTTAAATGCCCAGCGTCCAGCGACTGTTAATTATTAAACGAGTTTGCTGTCGGTTGGTATTAACCAGATTCGGCTGGTTAATACCGTATACCTACAATTCTGCCTTACCGTGGTTGTATACTGTACAGAATCAATTAAAAATAGGTGCGACGTTATGTTTTGTACAAAGCTTTGTAAACAATTTTTACGGGTACTGGACAAAAATCTTGATTTTAATATACCGTGCTTTCAATTAATTTTGATAGCAGTTTAATTGGCAGTAACTTTTTTGTTTTTAGATATATCAAGGTAAGCAAAAAAAAAATGTAGGGTTAGTAGCCAAGTTTTTTCCCAAGTGATGTATAAAACAAAACACTATCAATTTTCTGACATGTAAGTCGACATTATATTTTTTGAAATGTATGTTATATATGCGTTTAATAGAATATCTTATTCCAATTACAGTGGTGTAATACACTTTATATTTTAGGCCACTCGTTTTTGACAAATCGGCAAAAATATTTGTTTTCATATTTATTATTTCGAAGAGTGCCCTGATTGACACATTAAAGTAGAACAAAAACACTAAAAATGATAAGACACACTAAAATGAAAAATTATTGAGCTATTCTAAATACTGACCACCATTTTCCTGAACACATTTCTCATACACTCTAATTGTATGATGTCTTGCATTTAGTAACGTTTCCGGATTGTGTCTTAACTGATTGATTGCCTCTGAAATCACTTGCCGAAGTTTCACGACATTACTGCAAGGAGTTCTGTGCACGTGATTTTTTATGTGTACCCAAAAGAAAAATTCCATTA